CCGTGGATCTTGGCCGGCCGGCCGGCCGGCCAGCTGGACCGTGGTTCTTGGCCGGCCGGCCGGCCGGCCGGCTGGCTGGCTGGCTGATCGAGAAATAGCGGGCCGCGATAAGCTCGCAATGATATATATTATATATTATATTTACTCCTTTATGGATTCGGCCGGATTCGAAGAGTGAATGTCTGATGTAAAGGAACCCTGCTGAAACCCACAGATTCGCGCAACGTCTCAGAGCCTGGCACCCTAAAGCCTCGCAGCAATGCTGGGTGTCCGGGTCTTGGGGACCGATGAACAAGGGATGTGTCAGGCCAAGGATTGAACAGTATCACTATAAACAGCTGAAATCACTCCACACCAAGCACAGGAAACAGAAACTAGAACCCAACCACAAGCTGATCACCTAGGTCAGGAATGGATAAGTGTGGACTGTTCATGCTGAAGACAAATATTGTATGAACATGAAGGATTGAATCAATATGTGCTTCTGGAATTAGCAGATCTGGATGATATCGCCTTTTACCGCATACGTTCGATGTTTCACCTAGTGTGTACTATTATTCTATTGATTTTGTTTTGCTGCCTTGAGTTGAATTGGTCTATCTCTCTCTCTCTCTCTCAACGGCATGTTTGTGAGTCTGCAGGGCTTCTTCCTTGACGCCGTGTTTGTCGCACCAGACCTGTCTTCTCGAGCCTCTTGCCCGATCCACTGTGCGTCGTCCTGCTTGCCCGGGATCTCCTTTGGCTTCATCCTTAGCCTTCTCTTTGCCATGTTTCTACCTTTTCTCTTTGCCTACAACTGCTTTGCCTGGAAGCTTCGACCTCATCCCTCATCCTTGGCCTCCTGGATTTCGGCCACCTTTTGCATCTCCTGGAGCGGAGAGCCCGTCTTGCTGCCTACATCGAGTAGATGATGAACTTGCCTGTTTTGCAAGACTGACGTGGATCATCTCATTCATGCATTCAACTGGCTAAGTCTGGCATTGGAGGTCTGCATTTTCCAGTTCGGCTTCTACGCCCACCCCGGGAGTTTTTCTATTGTGGCTGGAAGCCTACCATATTCCCCAAACAGTTTCCTGGTGGGGTTCTCTCTTAGGAAAAAAGAGCTGGTCAGACTGGCTGGCAGTGTTTGTGAACTCTGTGTCAAGGCTTTGTTGTCCTCCTCCTCTCCTTCTTTTGCCCTTCTCTTGTCTTCTTCTTGCCCTCCTCTTGTCCTTGTCTTGTCCTCCTCTGAGCCTCTTGTCCTGCCTGGCTACCACAGTTGTTGCATAAGTTTTTGGGCCAATGCGACAGTTTTCTATCCTGAAGTACATGCAAGCAGGGCGAATACGGAGATAACAGACCAATGAGTTTTGATCAAAAGCAAAAAACTCAAAAGCAACCACTCGCCGAGAAGGTTCCCAATCCAGAGACTTATTGTGTTTGCACTTAATTCAAGCTTGACTAGATAGTGAAACACTGCAGTTGTATCCAAAAGGATGCTTGACAGGAAACTGCACCTCCGTCAGTTTGATCTAACGTGCCAGGAAACAGTCACTGTTGGCGTGTGGATTGATGCTGGAAGTCGCTTTGAAACAAAGGCAAGGCACCAAAAACCACAGAACTGGTGCCCCATTGCAAGCTTTGTGCCGCAGGAAAATAACGGGACAGCGCATTTCTTGGAGCACATGGCGTTCAAAGGAACAAAACGGCGAAGCAGAATTCAGTTGGAGCAGGACGGCCGGCATCGCTCAAGTTTGCAGCTGGAAAGGCTGATGTTTCCTGGCATTCTGGCAATGCTTTTGAGAGAATTATTTGAGGAGATTGAGAATATGGGCGGGCATTTGAACGCGTACACCTCCCGGGAACAGACGGCCTTTCCGACATGTGTGCATGATGGCCGTTTCAAACCCTACACTACACACTATAGCAATCCCATGCAAGCACGTCTACGCTCATTTAGAATGTTTTCCATCACTAAGAAGACGATCAGCAGCTGGAAAAGAGACAATATGAGCAGTGCCAACAGTTGTCCCAGGATTTGTCTTAATGTCCAAGTATTTTGACCACCATAAGTGGGCTGCAGTGCACCTCAAATACGCTAGAATTTCAAGCAGACTGGAACTGGGCTAACGCTTGAGTTTGTGAACAAACACATCATAGCTACTCTGACACTCGAGTGTTTGACACCTGGCGTCCGACACACGAGGTCTAAAACCATGTGCATTGCCTTGCGACTTGCTGCTGTTGCTTCATGTGGTTTGCTGTTGTGCTGTTGCTGGTTTGCTGCTTATGTAAGTGTGTGACAATAGTGTCTTCATGTGTCTTCCTTGTCAAACTAGACTAACAAGGCTTCTTCATTTGACTTCTAATATGTTTAACTTCCCACCTTTGCTTGTGGATATATCAATTATGTGACTGTGTATGTGTGCCCGCTGCAAGTGCCAGATCTTCTTGCCCTTTGTCAAAAACTCAAAAACATTCAAACACATGTTGCACCTTCGTCTTCCAGTAGTGGAAAGTGTCTTTGCTGACTACATTTGGTATGATTAGATTTGACAGTCCATTTGCCTTTCATGACCTTGGCAGGTGTACTACGCCAAGTGCTTCAAGAGTGATTTGCGAAATGGTCAGCCGGGAGTTTGCGTGAAATTGCTGACTGTGAGACTTGCTCGACAGCCCTGGAAAAGTAGTTTTCTTTCCCGTGGAATTTCAAGTTTACCAGCAGATTGCAGATGCCAGCTTGGCGAATGTGTTTGATGACAAGGTGTTGATATATTGGCTGACATCCTGCAGCATTCCACGCTTGATCAGTGTGTCCCTTACCATGATTCGCCCAAACGATGAGCAAATAGTTCTAAGAATCCTGTTGCTGCAGGGGTCATCTTGACTTTGAGAGAGGAGTCATCCTTCGAGAAATGGAGGAGGTGGAAAAAACAACAGAAGAGGTGCCCCAGCAGCTTCCTGTCTTTGACGCATATCCACAGGTGGATAGTCTGAAACGACGCATGTGCTTAGTGCTTTCAGTAGCTGTGCTATAAAAGGAACGGCAGCTGCATTTGAATTTAAGGGGGGTAGGCCGAGTAGGGTAGCTAGGTAGCTAGGTAGCCAGTAGAGATTGGGTAGCTACTAGCTAGCTACTAGTTAGCTACTACCTAAACGCAGGATAGCTCACGCTTCTTCAAGAAAGCTCCCCCCGCCTCTTCCCTGAAGAAGCGCTCGCACCAATGATTTGGTTTCTAGATTTTTAGGGAAACTTAGCATTTGTCGTTGTTAAGCTCGGCGATAGCAGGTGATTTTTGACCGCCTACATCTGACGGCCTTCCACGACAGCCCGCTCCAACCTTGAGCAAGAGTTTGGCGGATACGTAAGCAAAAGCCACTCATGTCAAATGCACATGTGCCCTTGCACATAATTGGATATCTTCTCAAGATGACGGACAGATTCTATTCCGTGTGGTTCCTGATTTGCCTCGCAGTGTTTGAACCACGCTTTTTTGTCTCAGCAAGGCTTGGCTACACCATCTTAGGGCCTGTGGAGAATATCCAGTTCGCTACCAAAAGTTTGGCATGCATTGCGTGCTATGACTCGGCAGGATACATGTCAAGTGCAGCACCAAAAAGGCATTATGTGGTGCAGAAGTCATTTGTAGATTGTGCCTGATCAGCTGATGTTTACTGCGAGGTCCATCACTCAACAGCATTTGCGCGAGTATGTAAAGGATAATTACCTGGCCGAACGCATCGCAGCTCAGCTAAAGCACCAGAGTTCTCAGCTTCGTTGTTGTGTAGGAATTCCCTTAGTATTGATCCATTGAGCTGGCTTTGCAGGCAGACTTGACAGCTTTGATTCGATAAGTGCTGCTAACGCCATCGCCGGTCTTCAATAAAAACTTCAACAGAAGCACTCATATACCACTACTGGACAATTTTTTGTTTGCTTGATTTTGCAATTGCTAAGGTAGTTGCGGCTGCTGGACCTGTGGACCACAGTGAGCTCGTGCGGAATTCTGAAGAGCTCTTCAGATCAGCCCTTATTCATGAGCAACCACTCGATGTCCTGCCTGTGCAGACTTAACCAGATAAGGTCATTTTCGATCTGGTGGCGGAGCCAGGAAAGAGGCAGTTTGACACTTTGTGGAAACTTGTTGACGCAGGTCACCACAAACTAGGAGTAGTTACACGTTTCTACAGCCTGCTTGATACAGAGCCTGGACAAACAGGAAAAGCCAGCCTTTTGTGGAGCAGAGCTGCTCTACAGGTCTCAAGAGGCCAGGATTGATAAGCTGTCGTAACCATGCATGCCGTGAACATGTCCATTCTGATCGATGAAACGGAAAGACATTACTGTATGTTTTTTTTTTTCTCTCTCTCTCTCTCTCTTGTAATTCCTCGTTCTCTGCATGGTTTCATTTGTAGGCATTTCAGACTCCCTGGGTTCAGGAAGGAAGCCTGGCACATTTTGCTGTCGGCTATGAAGGAGGCTGAATATTGACATTCAAAGCTCTGATGATAATCTCGAATCAAATCTATATATCGTAGCTTTTTTCCTCGCTTTGGTCTGGTTTGATGTGTACTTCACTTGTCCCGCCAGTTCCATGGACACACCCAGATTCCCTAACTTTCATGGCTCCGCGGCAGCATTGAAAGCACTGATGCTGCTTGATGATGACTATCAATGTACAGATGTTCTCAGGTTATACAGTCCATCATTGGCAATTACAAGAAAAACGAGGGTGATTTGGCATCGCTTGGGTTGCGCGGGTTGGAGCTTCAAACAAACTCCCATCACTAAAGGCGGGTAGCAACTCTTGCCAGGCCTTGTGCCTGCTAAACTGTCCAGCAATAGGTGCCGCTCTGAGCCTGAGCTCTATTAAATGTTGACGCATTTTTGTGTGGATTTCTTGCTTTTACGCTGCACCTACCCCACCTTCCTTTTCTCTCTGATCGCTTAGCAACTGAACTCTCACCAACTCATCTCACATCAGCTTACTTTCAGTCACTTTCACTCACTCTCTTCCATTCACTCACATCGGTTTTCCTGCCCTTGCGTTTCCCTGCATTTTGCTCGTTCTTAGGGGGATAGGAGGTTCTGCTGACGTGCCACACCGTCCCATCTCACACCAAATCAGTCATTCGTTCGTTCACTCGTTCATGCATTTCATTTCATTTCATTCGTTCCTTTTTTTCCTTTCCTCCTCCTTTTCCTTTTCCAATTCCTTCCCTTCCCTTCCCTTCCCTCCCCCTGAGGGGTGAACTCCCCAAAGTGACAGTACTAGAGTGCTTGTACTGGACCTGAGGTTTGCCTAAGTCGTTCGAGAGAGCGAGCGGCACAGAGAGCGAGCGGCACAGCGAGCTTTCTTTTCTGCAATGGTGGAGTGCAGTACGTGCTGGGCTAAACCTTGAGCCAAAACTTAATTCGAATCAAGCCAGCTTGACAACAGTGAAGTAAGACTACGTACATCTAAACTGAACAGGTGGTACACATGTATTGCGTAGAATTTAGAAGCTGACGTATCTCACTAGAAGCCTCGAACAAACGGCAAGTGCCATTCTGGCTCTGTCCAGACGTGCCTATTGATCTATGTGTAGTCCATCGAACAAAGTGTAATATCGGGTTTACATTTTTCTTGCTTGCGAGGAGACAATGCTACAGTCGCAAAGGCTTGAGTCAAAACCTACCTTGTCTTGACGCTCTAAAATCTCAGACACCATAATATCGACACCTCTCAGCTGCAATGATTTTACCAGTTCCAGCCTCTACCTGCAGATCTGCGCCAGGTTGAGTGCCAGGACGATGCCGATGATGATGATGATGATGGCCACTGTCGTTGGCTCCAGTTCTGACGCTGGCTCCAGCCTTGGCTGTAAGAGCTCCAATCTCTGTTGCGCCGCCACTCAGCCAAGCTTCGAACACGGAAATTCTGTTGGCAATCAAGTTGGCATGTGCCTTGGAGCGATAGGCGACACCGTATCTGAGGAAGCTAGATTCTCGATAACGAAATGACCACTGTGTTCAGTTTGGAATATCGCAGCCTGACAGCAAATCTCAAACATTGGAAGGAACTTCTGTTGATGAAGATTTCTGAATGCCAACACTGAACAGAATCAGCGCGTCGCTCTGAAAAGAAAATTGGGCTCGAGGATGCTTCAAAGCTACCAAATTGTTCATAGCAGTCCTTGATCCCGTCGCCCTGGTACAGCCTGAGTCAATGATGACATAGGTCGGAGAGTGCCTGAGGTCAATGTATTCATTGAGAAATGCGCGATGTGATCCGTTGTATCGAAGTTAACAAAGGAACGAAAATGAGGAATCGACCACTACGAACCCAGACATACATACTTACATACCTGTATTTGGGAAACATACATACCTCCAATTTTAACGTATGTATGTTTTTCAGGAACCCAGGCATACATGCATACCTGCAATTTGGAAGTATGTATGTTTCCCAGACATATACACACACTCATGGATATGCGTACTGACTTGACAGCGGTGCCACACGCC